AAAAAAAGGTACACGATGGTACAAATAATGTTCCTCAAAGAACAGTTTTGTACCTTTTTAATAATTGTAACTTTAATGGTACAGTAAAGACCTCCGATGATACTGTTTGGTACCTTTCAAGGTACAACTGAAATGAAGGTACATGAAAGTTCTCACGTCAAAGGTACAAATTTACTGTTTCATGCATGATTGGTTGCTGTTTTAACTATTAGGCATAGCAACAAGACTCTGATTGGTCGAAATCGCTGCGGCCGTTACTGAATTTTCAAATAGAACAGAGAGCGGGAAGCAGACTACTTTTACCCTTTTATCAACAGAAAAGCTCTTTGAGAATGGATTGTAAGTGTTAATCTTGAAGACGACGAGATTTAAAGGTGAGTTTTGACAATTTATGTTTATATTAAGTTCACAAGTCGAAAATGTAAATGTTTCAGCTACTCAACGTGAAATGAATGGCTTAAATTAATTCATGGAGCTATGCGCTCAATGGTTTTAGCCATTTGTATAACGTTACATAAAAAAAAAAAATGCAATTAGTTGATTAGTAGTATTAAATGATCGCGACTACATATACAATATGGCGTTTGCTCAACGCTGTCCATTGTAACTTTTAAATATCAACGGTTAACTATTAGCCATGGCAACACAAGAATTGACGGGCCGAAGTCGCAGCAGCCGTTAACGGAATTTTCAAACATCGGAGAGCGGGAAGCAGTCTAGCGCCAGCACATCCAGGACTTCAACTTCTTTATCGTTAGAGGAACTTCACAAGCTAAAGAGAGGCTTGACTCGAATTATCAGACGAAGAGAGGAGGAAATTCAAAGGTGAGTTTTATGCTTGCTTTTAACCGAATCAAAAATGTATAACACCGTGTCTACACTGGACGCGACAAAGCGACTGTGTCATTTGAACTTTGTGTCAGTACGTCATAAATAGACCGCGGCAGCAGATTTGTCGTGTCGCGCCGCATCCAGTGTAGACAGCATCGCTGATGATTATAATGGATTCTATAGTATTTTGTCGCGCCGCTCACGTCCGGTGTAGACACGGTGTTAGACGTTACAGCCACCCATTCACAACAGGGAGCGTAAAAGCTTAAATAGCCAGCTGTGTTTAGCCTTCTGCAAATCAATTTTAAAGCAACAGTGCTTGTGTATAGTTTGTGTATAAGTTTGAAGTACAAAAAAATAATACTTTTGAATTATTGTAAATGAATGCTTACCCTGAAGCGCCATGGTGTTGTATTGCACCTGTTGAACAATACAGACAAATTGAAATGTTCTGTGTGAGCTGCCTATCTTTCGGTCTCTGTTTTTAAAAGAATGTGATTACCTGATTCTGCCCTATCTCGAAGTCATATACATGTCATTCATTTTATTAGAGAACTCTGAAACTCAGCAAATGTGTCTTTAACTTTCAGATCACGAAGATGATGGAGAAACTGTCAGTGCTGGTCTCAGGGATAGCACAGCTTTTTTGAGCTTTTCTTGTAAGTAGCAAGTTACATTGATCATACTCGTACAACAAGTCTGTGTCCTCAGCTGTGAAGCAAGTATCAGTACAAAAATGAGTGAAATTTAAATGTAAATAAATTTAAATTTTCCTACTAAAATTAAAATGAATAGATACTAACATAGTCTTCTGTGGTCTGCGACACAAACACATCTGAGATTTAATTTATGTTTCATGAGCTTTACACTAAAGAAACAAGTCATTCACATTAAATATGATAGAATCTTGCAGTGTAATATTGTCATTACATATGTGTATTTTGCATTTATATGCAGGTGAAGACTGTGTCTACTGTTGGGGAGGATGCTATTTCATGCCCATGTGAAGACTTTGCAGGACCAGAAGACAACCAGTAAGTCTCTTTTGCTGATGTCTATACAATGGCAGCTAATTGTTAAAGGGTTATTAGTTCATCCCAAAATCAAAATCGTCATCATCACCCTTATTCCGTTCCAAACCCCTAAGACTTTCATTCATCTTCAAAACACAAATGAAGATGTTTTAATGAAAAATGAGAGATTTCTGTTCCTCCATTGACAGTCCACACAACTACTACTTTGATGCTTCAAAAATTTCATAAAAATAATGTAAAACAAATATGAATCGAACAGTTTAGTCCAGATTTTCTGAAGAGGCTCGATCATTTTATATGATGAACAGATTTAATTTATGCTTTTATTCACATATAAACATTCATCGGTACACACATCAGATATGGTAAACAAAATACCTTTTGTTTTGAAAAAATTTGTGTTAAACATCAAGTTTGAGCTTCCACAAGAACCAGTGAAGTTTGTTCTCATGCGTCAAGCAAGTATGGTTAAGCGTCTGTTTGTTCAGTGTTTATATGTGAATAAAAGACCAAGTTCAGTTTGTTCATCATATAAAGCAATTGAGTCTCTAGAACATTTGGACTAAACTGCTCTATTCATATGGATTAGTCTTACAATCGCTTTATGAATTTTGAAAGTTTCAAAGTGGTAGTTGCGTGGACTGTCAGTGGAGGGACAGAAATCTGTCAGATTTCATTGAAAAGATCTTTGTGTTTTGATGAGGAACTAAAGTCTTATGGGTTTGGAATGACACGAGGGTGAGTAAACAATGACATTCAAAGGCATCCATGTGACTTTTTCATCTTATTTTTTAGCATATTTCAAACGTAATAAACACTTTTCTCTCACTTCCATTATATTTCATATGTGGAAGCCGTTCCGGCGGATGACGCAGCACGTATGCGCAGCGCGCGCCTCTGAGGAATGCTAGTCTCTCGAGTTTGTTTATAGGAGCAAAGGAAGCAAAGTTTCCTTACTTTAGCAAAGTAAAACCAGTCACCTCACTCATAAGACCTTAGTTCGTCTTCATGAAGATATTTTTGATGAAATGCAAATTGCAAAAGCTTTCTGTCCCTCCACTGGTAGCAACACAACTTACACATTCAAGGTTCAGAACCGTAAGAAAGACGTCAGAGTAATACATGTCACTCACTTCTGTGGTTTAACCTCAATTTTATGAAGTGATGTGAGTGCTTTGTGCAACACTATTTACCACCTATTTACAAAATAATTTATCCAAAGTGCATTCATGTGACAGCGTCATCTCTTGTGTGAACACAACATTAATGCATTGTAAATAAAATTGTAAATTATGTTTTTGTTTTGTTTTGTGCAAACGTAGCACTCACATCACTTTATAAAATTGAGGTTAAACCACTGGAGTCGCATGGATTACTTTAATGAGGTCTTTCCTACTTTTCTGGGCCTTGAATATGTAAGTTGCATAGCTGCTTATGAAGGGACAGAAAGCTCTCAGATTTCATCAAAAATATCTTGCAGTGAATCTTTGTGGTATGCATGTTTCATCTTTAGACTTTGCTTGTTTTGAAAGTATGGAATGAATAATGTATGTCTTCATAGTTGCTAAATGTCTTTTTAGATATGGATTTTTTTTATGCTACTCTGGTTTTACATCTGGTGATATTCAGGGAGAAAGTGAACAATTGTCACAATCAGACAGGTGTTACATGCAAAGAATCTGTAGTGAGATAAAAAAATATTCAGGGTACAGTTGTAACTAGTCAGTGGGAATATAAATGCAAACAGTTTACTGCTGTCTTTTCTAATACTGATTCTTCATTTAGTTCAGGAAGAACCAGCGCACACCATATCCCACTGTGCAGATTTTGGGAACATCTGACTGGACACAAGTCTTCAGTGAGAAGAGAATCTTCAGAATTGTACAAATGGAGGGATCTGAAATTTGCCGAGCAGTTGAGGTGAAGGATGTTGTTTTTTGAAAATGTTAAATAAATGCAGGGATGTTGTGTGAAAAGTGGGGGAAAAGTTTTCTAGTTTTGTTACATAATGTAACATTTTAGTGTAATTGTATTTTATGTACTGTAACATTTAATTTAATTGTATTGTGAAATGTTTTGCAGCTTTTTTTTTAAAGTGATACACTGTTACTTTTTTTTTTAAGTCTTTATTGTCATCTGGAAAGATGCATTTACACAAAGAAATATTTTACTGTTCAACCACTTGTGTGTATTTGATATGTATTTGCAGTTACTGATATTAAAAAATATTTTGGTTTCAGTTGTTGAATGAGCATGTTATTCAACAGGAAAATGGCCTTTAATAGCTCTTGAAAGAACATATTTGCCACAGTTAAGGTACAAATGGGCTTGTCACTGGGGTGGTACATTAAAGGACAAGATGTGTACCTTTGATGAAGGTACAATATTGTACCAACAAGTTTTAAAAATGAAAAGGTACATTTGGTTACCCATAGTACAAATCATGTCCTTTAAGGTACAAATTGGAATGGTACAAATATGTTCCTAAATATTAAGGTACAATTCTGTATGTACCCTTAAAAGGTACTGCCCCAGTGACAAGGGTTTGTACCTTCTTTGGTACAAAATTGTACCTTTTTTTCTGAGAGTGTAGAAGTCAATGGCAACCACCAACTCTTTGATTACCAGCAATCTTCAAAATATCTTCTTTTGTGTTCAACATAAGAAAGCAACTCATACAGGTTTGGAACGACATTAGGGTGAGTAAATGATGACAGAATTTTCATTTTTGGGTGAACTATCCCTTTAAAGTTTCACTTTCCCCGAGACTAAGCCAGTAAATGTGGTGTTTACATGGAATAATTGTAATATGAGTTTATTTATGGTGCCCAGAGTCTCCAAATCAGTAAGCGATAAAACAAGCATCTTCCATCCCAAGACTTGTGTTGCATTTCGGGGCAAAACACAAAAACATCGTCGAACAACAATATAAAATGCGGGAAACTATTAACTGGTTATTCTACAATTAATTGTACTATAAATTATACACTACGATTGGAAAATACTATAAACTGATCAACCGTGTGATGACGTTTAATGTCCCCGACAGCGCATGTAGTCCCATTTAGCAACTTGTTAGCAACCATCTTTTTAAAGAAACAACCGTTTTAAAAAATCAGGAGTGGGGTGTAACTGGTGTGTTTTATGTCGCAGAATAAAACGTGAAAGTATCTTGAGCTTGTGTGAACCACAGACCTTATTTTAGGGATTTAAAGTCCCCATGAAATCAAAATTTTAAGTTTTGGGTGTTAGTATCAATATGTTAGTCTTAAGGTTATCTATAAGGCAGTGTGCTCCAAAACAGTGACAAAATTCACATTTAGAAGATATAAGCATTCAAAGCTTGCAGTTCGTCACTTCTGCCAAAACGGCTCAACGATAGTGTTGGGTCGTTCTTAAAACTATTCGTTCATTTTGAACGAATCTTTAATGTGACTCGGGAAGAACGAGTCGTCTCGGGGAGTGATTCGTTCAGTCGCGCATGCGCAACATCCTATAGGTTCTGTACTGGAATTAGTCAAGTAGTTCTGTTTCGAGTCTTCGGGTTTTCCGAGTCGTTCGTCATCACGTGACAGACCCATAAGCTTAACCAATGCAGTCTGAGCCGGAAAGAGACTTAATAATAATAACCAACTCTTTATTACCTTTGTTACAACATTCAGTGTTATGGAAAATAACCATCATGACAGATATTCACACATTTATGAACTGTAAGAAGTAAAAAGCTACAATTTCAGACCAGAAACGCATCACGTAACTGTAAGAGTAAATAGTTTTGTATTGTTTGTAGTGTGATCAGCGTTTGCGTAAGTAGTAGATGTGTTAGGGAAGTAACACGTAACATTTTAATTATATTTTGCTGAAATGAACGAAATGACTCGAAAAAAGATTCATTTTGCTGAACGAGACTCAAAGGTCCGAGTCGTTAAAATGATCCAAACTTCCCATTACTACTCAACGATTTTTCTGACGTCACATCGTACTTCTGCTTCTCATCAAACTTTGTCCAATCAAATGCTCTCTAGAAGCCGAAGCCCTGCCCCCTACACCGTAAAACAGACGCTGAAGCAGTGGCTGAAATCGGTCACTTGTCCACAGAATTAGTATTTTCTGTGCAGTGAATGGCACGTAGTGCACTATATAGGGGACAGGGAACGATTCAAACAGTGTAAATATGCTTTCCATT